GTGACCTGATGACCCTGACGTGTCCGTCAGCGTCGTGCCGCGGCTCGTCTTGGCGTTGACCGACGTGGTGCTGCTCGATAGTGCGCCCTCGAGGACGTGTAGCTCACCGCTGTGCTGCTCGTCACGACCACGCACGCGCAGATGCTCGAGCTGTGAAAGTGGCCGTGGACGTCGCGCTGCTCGAGATCGTTCTGGTCGCGGCCGTGCTGCTCGAGGTCGCACTGCTGGTCCGCTGAGGCGTACTGGGAGGCAACGGTGCACCGGAAGTCGAGGTGTAGGACGGTGCGCTTGTGTTGCTGGTCACGCTCGAGCTGGCCGTCGTGCGCTGGTGCCGCACAGCAGGACGGGGCTGCTCGACTGCGCCGCGCTCGAACCCGTACTGCACGACGTTGCGCCGCCCGACTCGACGCGAAGCGTGAAGAAGCCCACCAGCTCTCTGGGCATAGGTGGCATAACGAGCTCTGTATTCTCTCAGCCGAAGCACCCTCCAGCCCCTGCTCGGGGGAGAGGCTTACAATTGTCCCCTGTTGTTGTTGAACACACAACCTCCCCCGGGCGACCGTCAGCCAACCTGGGCCAACCAGCTTCCCCTCGACAAATCCAGGGACAAAACCAGAGAAATGCTCCCTGCCACCAAATAAGGCGCAAGCGCGCACTCTGCAGACGCTTCCACGGCGGCCCGGTCAAGTGCATGCTTCTACACAGCCCTGAACCAAGCAACCCCCGGGCAAACGGAGGCGCCCTGAAGGGGGGGGTCGGCTAACAGCCGCGGATGGTAGAGAATGCCACTGTCAGCTCGCTCGGATTCTCCATCGGGGTCCGCCCGCGTCGGCCTGGGGCCTGCAGGGGGGGAGTGCCTGGGAGCGCCAGGAGGGCCCGAACAGGGGCGCAGAGCACGGGGGGGGACCTCCTGAGGCCGGGGGGGAGACCTCATCACCACCACCTCCTTTTTCCCAACCCTCCTGCGTTGGGTTCTCGTTTTGAATAGAGCACTGCTCGCGCCTTCCCGCCCCCCCCCGTCCCTCTCTTCCCCCCTGCCTTCGCTCGTCGCTGCGTGCCAGCTGGGGGGCTGCGATCTGTGAAACTGTCGCCACTTTCGAGGGCTGCTGGGGGGCCCAGCACAGTGGGCACCCGCGGCGGATTCAAATGGGACCTCGCCATCCCTGGGGGGCTGCGATCTGTGAAACTGTCGCCACTTTCGAGGCCTGCTGGGGGGCCCAGCACAGTGTGCACCCGCGGCGGATTCAAATGGGACCTCGCCATCCCTGGGGGGCTGCGATCTGTGAAACTGTCGCCACTTTCGAGGGCTGCTGGGGGGCCCAGCACAGTGTGCACCCGCGGCGGATTCAAATGGGACCTCGCCATCCCTGGGGGGCTGCGATCTGTGAAACTGTCGCCACTTTCGAGGGCTGCTGGGGGGCCCAGCACAGTGTGCACCCGCGGCGGATTCAAATGGGACCTCGCCATCCCTGGGGGGCTGCGATCTGTGAAACTGTCGCCACTTTCGGGCTGCTGGGGGGCCCAGCACAGTGGGTACCCACGGCGGATTCAATGGGACCTCGCCATCCCTGGGGGGCTGCGATCTGTGAAACTGTCGCCACTTTCGAGGGCTGCTGGGGGGCCCAGCACAATGGGTACCCACGGCGGATTCAAATGGGACCTCGCCATCCCTGGGGGTCTGCGATCTGTGAAACTGTCGCCCCTTTCGAGGCCTGTTGGGGGGCCCAGCACAGTGGGTACCCACGGCGGATTCAAATGGGACCTCGCCATCCCTGGGGGGCTGCGATCTGTGAAACTGTCGCCACTTTCGAGGCCTGCTAGGGGGCCCAGCACAGTGGGTACCCACGGCGGATTGAAATGGGACCTCGCCATCCCTGGAGGGCTGCGATCTGTGAAATTGTCGCCACTTTCGAGGCCTGCTGGGGGGCCCAGCACAATGGGCTTCCCGCACGTTTTTCTCCTGCTCTTCGTTCCCGACTCCCCATGTCCTCTTCGAGCCTGTAGTTGTCGCCCCTCGTTCTTGTATGGTTCTCCTGCGCATCATTCCATTGGCGCGTGTCCCAAGTAGCTTACATATCAAACAACGGCTCCTGCAATTTGATTGTCCGTGCAAGTTTCGGTCAACTCCTCGTTTCCCATGATACAAATGGGTTGGGTACGTCACAGGGTAAGTTCCTTTTCCTTCTTCTCTCTCTCTCTCCTCCTCCTCCTCCTTGTCCTCTCTTCTCTTCTCTTCCTCCTTTTCCTCCTCCTCCTCCTCCTCCTCCTCCTCCTGCTTCCTGCTCCTGCTCCTGCTTCCGCTCCTGCTCTTGCTCCTGGAGGGGACCCCGACACCTCACGGCGGTCGGCCGCGCGCAGGACCTGCCGATGCCCTGCTGGGGTGCGGCTGACAGTCGCGGGGTGGTAGGAAGCGGTTTCGCCTGAGACCAGCCGATGGTCTGCTGGGGTGCGGCTAACAGCCGCGGGGTGGTAGGAAGTGGTCTCGCCTGAGACCAGCCGATGCCCTGCCGGTGTGCGGCTAACAGCCGCGGGGCGGTAGGAAGTGGTTTCGCCTGAGACCTGCCGATTCTCGCTGAGGTGCGGCTAACAGCCGCGGCGTGGTAGGGGGGCGGCTCACTGCCTCGCCCCTACCAACCCGCGGCTAACAGCCGGCTGGGGTGCGGCTAACAGCCGCGGGAATGGTGAAAGGATCAGGGTCTGATACTCAGGGCGCAACCGATGGCAGCCGCAGGACGGAGCGTTGAACGGGCACCGAAGGTGCGGAAGAAAATGGCGTGGAAAGGTGCACCGGGGGTGCAGAGGAAAGCGGTGGGAGGGGCGATGGGTGGCCGCGTGGTGGCAGGGGAACAACCCCGGGTGAGGTGAGAGGTGACTGACAGTCGCACGAAGGGGGAACGGCGCGCCGACGCCGACGTCACGGAGGTGGAGGCAAACAAACGGCCACGTTTTCGACGTCAAGGTCCTGACTTCGCCCGAGAGTAAACCCACCCTACAGTGTGCGCTCACTGTCGGCGCCCACGAGATCCCGACCATCTCGCGGCGGTGCCTGGCGTCCCCTGTTCGCGCCTGCGTGGTGTCCCAAATGTTGCCCACGCGCCTGCGCCCAGTCGACTCCCAGGCCCAGTGAGTCGCTCGTGGCCCAGGCATCGCAGCTGTGGTTGTGAAGTGAGGTCAGGAAGGCGACGCAGGTTCGCTGGTCGTGCCGACGCGGGTCGAGAGCGCGCGCGGTGCCAGGGGCAGCGTGTTGCTCGGCAAAGGCGTGCCAGACGGCTGTGGACGACGCATTCAGGGTGACCTGAAGATGCCCGATCGTCTCGTTTGGTGGCTCCCTGTGGGGTTCCCGCTGGAGTCATAGGCCCGGGCTTTACAGAGCGGCCTTCCAGTGTTGGGCGATCGGCGAACAGACTGGGCGTCCACCAACTTCCCGTCCGACGCGCCAAGGATGCCCCCTGGTCGGGCTGCCGGCCCGTCTCGGCGGTCGAGCTCACGCCCCCACCGGAGGGGTCTGGCGCGCTTAGCAGGGATGCAGGGGTTGCCCCGTGGCTGCCTGTCGAGGCGTCCGCCCGTATCGAGTCGCTGGCAGGGGAAGGAGGACGAATAAGGGCGAAAGGGCTCCTCGAAACCAGCTGAAGGATGGCTTCGTTGCCCCGCTCGTCAGGGGAAGGCTGACGCGTGGGCGCGGTGGGACTTCCCAGTGCCGTCTGGAGGGTGGCTTCACTGTCGGGCTGGCCGTCGGGTTGGCCGTCGGGCTGGCCGCCGCCGCGGCCAGCCGCCGCCGCCCCCCGCGCGCCGGCCTCCAGGGGGGAGGCGGCGGCGGCGGCGGCAGCAGCAGCCGCAGCAGCGGCAAGCGGAGGGCCCTGGCGGAGCGGCCCGTCCCGGGCGGCGGCGGGCGGGCCCGGCGCGTACCTGGACCAGGGGCGGGCTCGAGCCGAGACGGCTTGAGCCAGGCTGCGGAATGGCTGGTGGGGATACGCAGAGCGTCAAGAAATTCCAAAGGTGTCAGAGGAGGAAGCGGTGCCCACACTCCACCTCCACCCTCCATGCCTTCCGACCTCCGCGGAAGGTGCAGAAGAATTCATCGAAGCTCATGGGAACCTCACGTGATTCGAGGAAAGCCGCATGGATCACACCGAGGAAAAATGAGGGGGAGGGCATACAGCTACCCTTCCCTCGTATTTCCCTTTTGGGGCCTCCTGGGAGGCCCTCGTGGCCACCGCTGGGTTTGCTTCGAAATCCTGGTCCGAACGCGCCCCGGGAGAGGTCCGGGGCGTAGCGGTATCGGTACCTTCCAGCCCTCCGACGTCATGATTTTTCATAGCGTCGACCCCCCAAGGTCTCGACTCATTCCCGGGGGGCGATTTTTCATCCTGAGTCGTTTTTTTTGTTTGACCGCCCCCGAGGCCCGGGAAGCGACCCCCAGAAGCGGAAAGTTTTGAAAACCTGTCAGTCGTGATTGTTCCATGACTCGAGGGGTTTGGGTTTCGGCTTCCCCCAGCAAGTGGGGTTGGGGCACAGATCCAGCTGGGCACTCACGTTTCTTTTTTCCGCGGGCCGTTATGAGCGATTCCCTTTCAACCCCAGTTTTAAGTCGGGCCTGTCCCTCTACAGGAGGAAAATTCAAAATTGTTTAAACAACATTTCGGGGACGATGTTTGACTATTATTTAGTTTTGTTTTGAATACTTTTCAATCTTTGTAATTTGTCGCCCAAAATCCCCCCACTAGGGAGACAGCCCGACCCAACCCCAGCTTTGTGGAGGACGCTCAATGGAGAGGCAGCGTGTTGCTAAATCATTTCCAGATGGCTAGAGGATGTTTCAAATCTGTTACATGTACTTATATAGATGTGAAACAACATGCTTGAAACATGTTCTGAACAGGTTTTACACATTCTGAACACATCTTGCATTCAATGATCGGATTGTTAGAGCGTCCACTGTCATGGCGTCCACAACCCCAGCTCTGCCCCTGCCCCACCCTGGCGCCCCCCCCGCTCCGCAGGACGGCCGCGGGCAACCGGCGCGGGCCGCCGCCGCGCAGCCGCACGCGTGACCCGGAGCGGCAGGGCTCCGACCGCGACTCCACGCCGGGCAGGCGGCGCTCCTCCTCGGAAGTCGTAGGAGCAAAAGGTACTGATGCCGCTGCTCGTCCCAGAGTTGCGGAAATCGAGAAGTGGAGTGGAGGCATGTTGCCAAATGATTTCCAGATGTCTAAAACCTGTGTCAAACATGTCTTAAACATGCACAGCGCATGTTGAAGACATGTTTAGAACAGGTTTCCGACATGTTAAACCCATTTTAAATTCGATGATTTTTTCGTTGTCGTGGCATCCACGATCCTAGAGAGTCCTCGTCGCCACCGCTTGATTCGCCTCGAAGTTCTGGTCAGAACGCACCCCAGGAGAGGTCCGTGGAGCAGCGGCATCGGCATCTGTCTGACTCCCCAGGACGGGCGGTTTGTTCAGCAGCAAATCGTGGGAGGCTTTTATTCCCTCGCAGTTCTGTGATTGAGAGTGCATCAGCGTCGATGAGCGCCATCGATGGGGTAGTTCTGATTTGGCGTCGATTAGTGCCGATTGGCGTCGACTCGGCGTCGTCCTGATCTCCACCATCCCCCGTTGGGGATCTGCCCCTCGAGACTCGAAGGGAACAGCCTACATCCCCATATGGGGGGTCCATCGGCCAGTGGGGCCCAGGCCACGCCCGTGGGGATAGGGATCGGTTCAACGACGCGCATTCATCTACTTGGATCGGCACTGGAAGTGATAAGTTGATAGAAGCCAACGTGGGTTGTATGTTATATCTAGGCAGACCTGGTTTAGAAGTGGGGTACAAGTGCCCCAAGTGGCACGTAGGGTGTAGCGGTCCAGGCTAAGTGGGCGGAGCCCAATTAGCGGAGTCATATGACCCCTCTCCTGAACAATTCGGGGCACTTGTAGCCCAAATAAACAATATGTTTGGCTCGATAGAACCAACCTGGCATGAGCTGATACTCCCCGTATCCCCTGAGCAACCCTCGCGCCAAACGAAGTAGGCCTCCCAGATGGGGCAGGAGTAGATGGGGTAGAGCGCGCCGCATCGCCAATGCATCGGCGATTCGGCTCGATGTGGAGCCCGATTTTCTCCACTCCAGCGTCGCCAGTGCATCGCTGACGTCAACGTTGCATCGCCGTTACATCGGCGACGTATCGGTGACTCGACGCGATCCTCTGACCCCATCCTCATGTCGGGCCTGTCCCTCCGCAGGAGGGGCATTCAAAAACGGTCAAAAAGTAATATGGGGACGATGTTTGAAAATATCTCTGACCATATTTGATTCGACTTTTTCCAGATATTTTGAATGGATCGCCCAAAATCCGCCTGTAGGGTTATGATGTTCCAACCTACTTTAGCCTTGATCACCAGAAAGAATTTCGAGCACCAGAACAATGTGCCGAAACTGGAGGGTTTTCACGTGTCGGGCCCTGGGAGACACTGTTTCGACACTCTTTCGACACTCTTTCGACATTTTTCTGGGTGCTCGAAATTATTTCTGGGATGTGGAACATGCCCGACCTCACCCCATCCACTCGGACCCGCCCTGGGAGGCTTCTAGTTCCGCGGCAGCGTCAGGGGGCGCAGGGGCGACGGGGGGGGGCACATCTCAGGAGAGGGAAAAACGCAGACACAATTAATCGTCGATTCCTCAGAAAATATGGAAAATATGGGAAGTGGGGGGGGGAGACGAAAACCCTAAAAAATATGAGAAAATATGGGGGAATCCGGTTATTCGTGTCTATTTATTTGTGTGTCCTTGGGCCCCTTGCGCACCGGAGCCCCGACCGACGTGGGCGCCCCGTCCGCGGGGGCAACGATGCACGGGGGGGGGGATCGGCTCGAGGTTCGCAGCTCGAAGTCTGCGGGCGTTGTCGTCGGCGCTCGGCGGTGCTTCCAGCCTCGGGGACGCCTTGGTGTCGGCTGCGCCTCGCCGGGAGCGTCCCGGGAGTGCCCAGAGCGTCCCGCGCGGCCGCGTGAGAGCCGAGCTATGGCCCGCAAGCCAGGGGGCCGTGCCAGGAGGCCTAGATGCACTCATCGCCCACTCATCGGCTCCTCATCGCCCACTCATCGCCGATAGGGGCCTGATAGCTCACCTAGCCTTCTGATGCTCTGGCCTTGATCGCCAGAAAAAAGAGTCGAGCACCAAGAAAGCACCGAAGCTGGAAGGTTTTCATGTGTCGGCCCCTGGCCCCTGGGAGGCGATACTCGTTCGACACTGTTTCGGTACTTGTCTGGCTCCTCGAGTTTTTTGTTTTGTACGATGAGAGCAACATGCACCCAGCCCAGGAAAGTGCGGGTTCTTTATCGAGTCCTATCGCCGATCCATCGGCGATGTATGGCTGACTCGAGCTCGACGTCTCTTCCCCTGAGCTACCCCCCCAGACGTTGCCCCTCAGAGGAGTGCATGCCATGAGAGGACCTTGCGTTCAATCGGGCACGCCCCCTTACAGGAGATCTAGTCAGAAATGTTGTGAAACATAGTCTGGGGACGATTTCCTTTCGGCTTCAGTGGCGCGCTGTGCATCGATGGCACGCTTTTTGTGAGGTGTCCATCGGGGTGCTGATCCGTCGCGGTGGTCCGAGAGCTCGCTGCTTCCACGATGGCACGCCGCTGGAGTCCCCACGGCGGCGTGCACGACCGGTTCGTCGGATGTATGGGCACAGCGGAGGCCCTTGCCAAGAAACGCCCCGCTTGCCCCCATGGGTGCCCCGGGTCTGTTGGGTTTCGGTGGCTCTGCTGTGGAAGGCGTGACGGTCCCCCGTCACAAATCGACGGACGGTTTGGGGTTTTCAGGGTTGGGTGTCTTGTGCAAGGTTTCTTGTGGTCGAGCTCCTACTGTACCGATGCCGATGCTCTGCCCTCATCTCCTCCCGTTCGAGCCTCCTGAGGGGGCGTCTGTCGCCGCGGTCGCAGTCTCCCATGAATCCTGGTCAGAACGCGTCCTGGGAGAGGTCTGGGGGGAGTAGCAGCAGCCGCTTCCCCCCCGCCCCCTCCCCCCCCTTTCATTCCCTGCTCAGTAGCCTCCTCAGGAGAGTTAGGGAGGATGGGCAGTTCATCAGGGGAGGCAGGGAGGCAGCAGCCTCCTCAGGGGAGGCAGGGAGGCTGGGCAGTGAGTCAGGATGGGCAGGAGCCTCCTCAGATTGCAGGCGGGGAGGCTGGGAGCGAGAGCGGAGGAGGGAACGGCACCTGTACACGGCGCGGCCAGTGAAGGACCGATTGGGGGGGGGGGGGGGCGGCTCGGGGGGGGGGGCGGGCGGGAGGCTGGGAGAGGTGGCGGCGGAGGCGGTCGGCGGCGCGGCCGGTCGGAGGGGGAGCCTCGGGGCCTGCCCCCGCCACGTCCGGGCCCTGCTGCTGGCAGCGGTGTCTGGCAGGTGCGCTTGGCACGTGGCAGCTATCGCTAAGTCGGGCCCGTCCCTCTACAGGGGGAATGTTCAAACATAGTCAAACATAGTCTGGGGACCATTTTTCCCCCACATCCGAAGTGGGGTTCTTGTTTTCTCTGGACACCCTCCGCGCAGGATCTCTCCTCCTCCTCCTTCCTCTCCTCTCCTCCTCCTTGCTTCCTCCTCATCATCACCATCACCACCACCATCATCATCATCATCATCATCATCATCATCATCATCATCATCATCATCATCATCATCATCATCATCATCATCATCATCATCATCATCATCATCATCATCATCATCATCATCATCATCATCATCATCGTCATCATCATCACCGCACTCATCACCACTCATCATCATCAGCATCATCATCATCGCACTCACCAACCCACCCACCCACCCACCCACTCACTCACTCACTCACTCACTCACTCACTCACTCACTCACTCACTCACTCACTCATCACCGTCACTCACTTATGTCACCCGAGGAAGTCTCAGGCGGGAGCCCCTCCCTATGGGTCCCGCACTTCATGTTGGTACACCGAGCGTGTCATCGGCAACTTGTAGCTGTCGTCACTTTTGGGCTCCTCAGGCCTGAATTTGGAGGAAGTATGAAGCGGGAGCCTCGTCTGTGAGTGAATTGTCAGGAAGTCTCAGGCGGGAGCCCCCTCCCTATGAGTCCCGCATTTCATGTTGGTAATCCGAGCGGGTCATCGGAAATTTGTATCTGTCGCCACTTTGGGCTCCTCAGGCTTGAATTTGGAGGAAGTGTCAAGCGGGAGCCTCGTCTGTGAGTGAATTGTGAGGAAGTCTCAGGCGGGAGCCCCCTCCCTATGGGTCCCGCACCTTCATGTTGGTAATCGGAGCGGGTCATCGGCAACCTGTAACTGTCGTCACTTTTGGGCTCCCCAGGTTTGAACTTGGAGGAAGTATCAAGCGGAAGCCTCGTCTGTGAGTGAATTGTGGGGAAGTCTCAGGCGGGAGCCCCCTCCGTATGGGTCCCGCAATTCATGTTGGTAATCAAAGCGGGTCATCGGCATTCTGTATCTGTCGCCACTTTTGGTTCTCAGGCTTGACTTTGGAGGAAGTATGAAGCGGGAGCCTCGTCTGTGAGTGAATTGTGAGAAAGTCTCAGGCGGGAGCCCCCTCCCTATGGGTCCCTCACCTTCATGTTGGTAATCCGAGCGGGTCATCGGCAACCTGTATCTGTCGCCACTTTGGGGCTCCTCAGGCTTGAAATTTGGAGGAAGTATGAAGCGGGAGTCTCGTCTGTGAGCGAATTGTGAGGAAGACTCAGGCGGGAGCCCTCTCCTTGTTGGTTCCGCACTTCATGTTGGTAATCCGAGCGGGTCATCGGCAACCTGTATCTGTCGTCACTTTTGGGCGCCTCAGGCTTGAATTTGGAGGGAATATCAAGCGGGAGCCTCGTCTGTGCGTGAATTGTCAGGAAGTCTCAGGCGGGAGCCCCCTCCCCATGGGTCCCGCACCTTCATGCTGGTAATCCGAGTGGGTCATCGGCAACCTGTAACTGTCGTCACTTTTGGGCTCCCCAGGTTTGAAGTTGGAGGAAGTATCAAGCGGAAGCCTCGTCTGTGAGTGAAGTGTGAGGGAGTCTCAGGCGGGAGCCCCCTCCGTATGGGTCCCGCAATTCATGTTGGTAATCCAAGCGGGTAATCCGCCGAGAAAAATCGATTTGCTTGCCTCGGCCAGGGGAAAGGGAGGAGCGCGCGGAGAAGAAGCAGGGGAAGGACAAGGGCGGGGAAGGGGTAGGGAGGGGGTGATGATGAGGAGGAAGTGGAGAAGGAGGAGGAGGAGGGGAAGTAGGAGGGGGAGAAGGTGAGGGCAGAACGGCGGGCGAGAGGATAGTGTGCGTCAGGGCGAGGAGGAAAAGGGTAAGGGGAAGCTGAACCTATTCTCATGCGGGGTCCTTCCGTCGGAGTAATTTGAGTATTTTTCAATTTTGGAGCATTTGTTGTAGTTTGTATTTTTCGTCGAAAATCCCCCTGCAGGGGGACAGGCTCGACTTAAAGCTATCGGACACCGCCCCTCCTTGGAAGTCGAGGATCGAGGAGGAGGGGAGGCCAAGGACCTCTTGGGCGTCCAGCGAATGAACTTGCCTGCCCTACGAGCCGTGGTGCAAGCTAGGTGGCGGGCAAGGCGCGTGAAAGACAGAGGCAGACCGCATAAGTCCCTACAACTCCAACGATATCGAACGGCAAGAAGAAATACGGGGGGAAGGGATGATGGGACAGTTTTCCACCACCACTACTATAGGTTGGACGGTGGGGAAGGGAGGATGGGGAGGTCCTCCTCCTCCTCCTCCTCCTCCACCTCCTCTTCCTCCTCCTCGTCCTTCTCCTCCTCCTCCTCGTCCTCCTCCTCTCCTCCGCCTCCTCCTCCTCCTCCTCTTCCTCCTCCTCCTTCTCCTCTTCCTCCTTTATCCTCCTCCTCCCACCCCTGCCTATGGTAGTGTTGGTGGAAAATCGGCCCATTACGATCCCATTCGATTCCGGTACGTGTGCGATCCGATGCGGTCCGATGCCCGCACGGCGCTGCCGTGTGGACGACTCGGCTCGATTCCGATATATCCTGCCGGTGCGGCAGCACGGCTCGCTGCACGCTCCGATCCGCTCCGGGTCTTCGATCCGATTTTGAGCGCTTGTTGGCCTGGCGGCTCGAGCAAGTTGCGCAACACATTGTGGTACGATGATGGTCGGGATGCTGATGATGATGCTGATGAAGACGATGACGATGTTGATGTTGCCGATGATGTTGCTGATGATGATTGTGTTGCTTCTGATGATGATGATGCTGGTCATGGTGATGGTGATAATGATGCTGATGATGATGATGCTGATGATGGCGAGGCTGATGGTGATGGTAATGGTAAGGGTGATGAACGTGACTGTGCGGATGCTGGTGCTGATGATGATGGTAATGGTGATGCTGTTGATGATGATGCTCTTGCTGATGATGCTGCTGATGATGATGCTCATACTGATGCTGATGCTGATGCTGATACTGCTGATGCTGATGCTGTTGATGCTGATGGCGACGATGCTGATGATAATCATGACGATGCCGATGATGGTGATGATGAGGATGATCATGACGATGACGATGCTGATGATGATTATGATGATGACGCTGATGATGCTGATGCCGATGGTGACGATGTCAATGATGATGCTGGTAATGTTGACGATGATGATGATGACGATGCTGATAAGGATGATGATGCTGCTGATCAGGATGATGGTGATGGTGATGATGAATCTGAATGTGATGATGAGGGTGAGGATGAGGATGGCGAGTAGGATGATGATACTGATGATGATGATGATGATGCTGATGATGATGATGATGGTGATGGTGATGGTGATGGTGATGGTGATGGTGATGATGATGATGATGATGATGATGATGATGATGATGATGATGATGATGATGATGATGATGATGATGATGATAATGCTGCTGCTGCTGCTGATGATGATGATGATGATGATGATGATGATGATGATGGCGATGAGGAGGAGGAGTAGGAGGAGAACGATGAGGAGGAGGAGGAGGAGGAGGAGAAGGATGACTGGGAACCCACAGACGACGTACGCGAAAAGCCACGTAAACGAAGACGACCCGCCGAGTCCAGCCTCGTGTTACGAACGTTCGCGCAGTGTAGATATTCTCGAAGCCGGGGCGTGGCGATGGACAGAGAAGCGACACCCGCACGAGGACCTGGGCCCTCCTGGGCAATGGGCTTGGAACTGTCTCGAGGAAGGCGCCGAAGAGCAGCGAGACCACGCCACCTCAAGTGGACATCCAGGGGCCTTCTTTGCTCCTTGGGCCATGGCGGCGTCGCTAGCGCCTTTCTTCTGCTCCGAGAGTGGATGCCCCTTCGTCCCTGCTTCTACTACGATTGGTGACTTCTGGACAGCGTGTAGCTCCGCGGGTCCTGGCCCGCCCGGCTTCGGCGCGACTCGGTAGCCACTTCGCGGTCCCTAGGCGTCAACATCCCGAGCCTTTCTCGACCTCCCGCCCCGCTGCGCGGAGCGACACGCTATCCGATCGCAAGCACAGCCTGTCGCCAGTGCCGCCCGGGCGACACGCTATCCCAAAGTTCTCGACAGTAATCGCGTGTGTTCTCGTTTCGTTCCTGCACCCTCGGGGCGGCGCTCCCGTCGGCCCTCCTGTTCGCGGCCAGAACAAGTGCCAGGACGGCGCCTGGGATCGGACGGGGCTGGGACAAGGATAAATCCGTTCTGGAGCGTTCCGGACCGCTCTCAGAGCGTTCGGAAACGCTCTGAGAAGGCCGCGGCGCCCGAGACATCCTCCAGAGCCGCTCAATCTCACAGATTGTCGATTTGCCCTTACCCAGATTTCGCCTCGTCCTGGCTTCATCTTATGGGGGGTGACTCGGGGCCGACTTCTGAGCGGATCCTTCCGAGGCGCTCCAGGAAAGGGGGAGGAGGAGGGCAAGGAGGAGGAGGAGGCGGAGGAGGAGGAGGAGGAGGGGGAGGAGGGGGGGGAGGAGGCGAATAGTGAGGAGGCGAAGGGAAGTAGGAAGGGGCCTGCCTTCGAGGGTCAGAGATGAGCTGGCGCCTCCTTCTCGGCGGGGAGGGCGGCGGAGAACGCTGGCGGAGGACTGCGGAGAGCAGCAGACAACGGGGGCCGCGCTCCGCGGGCGGAGGCTGGCGGAGGCACACTCGCCAGTCGTCGAGAGTGGGCATCTGGGGATACCCAGATCCCGGTCAGCAGTGATGTGTCCGTGTTTCGAAGGCGAAAAGACGGCATAAACATAGATGTTTGGCGTTCCGCGCGGATTTGCGGGATCTGTGCTGGACCCCCCTGGCGGCGCCTCCTGGCGCAGATCCCAGAAATGCGCGCGGAACGCCGAAAGTGTATTATGCAGTTTTTATTCCTCTATTCTCGGAGCTCTCCTGGAGAGCCTCTTGAGCACCTTTTGCGCTGCATCGGGTGCCATCTGGTGCCGTCTTGCGCAACACTGGTCCGTCTTGGCCCGTCTTGGAGCACCCACCTGTCGGTCGTTGAGAAAGTAGGTGTTTTCGGGCTCCCAGATCCCAGCTTCAAGAATCGATATGGTGTTGCTGTGTGTTCTTCCTCTGGGATGGGGATGGCCTGGATCCAATCTACTTTACGTCCGCCTTCCCACCTCATGCTTTTACCTACTTATTCCGACCTGCGTGTACGCATCGGCCTCCCATGAGATGGCGAGCTTTCCGCTTCAGGGTTTCCGGAGCCCGCCAGTTGTGATTGAGGCAGGGGGATCAGTCATCTCCCAACCTTAGCGTCAGCCTGTAGGTTCTTGCCATTTGCCGCAGGGAGTGGCAGCTGCTTTCCCCTCTTGTCCGGCGGCTTTCTTCGTGGGTGGCGAGCACACGGAGACGCGGATGAGGAGACGGAGGAGAAGACGGAGGAGGTTCGACGCCCATCGAGGGAAGAGGTCCAGGGGGAGTTAGGAAAGCTGGGGTGGGGTGCCCATCAGGGAAGACCTTGTTAATCCTGCCGAGGGTGGAGACGGAGGAGGAGGAGGAGGAGGAGGAGGATGAGGAGGAGGAGGAGGAGGAGGAGGAGGAAGAAGAAGAAAGAAAGGAGGAGGAGGAGAACAAGACGAGGAGGACGGGCAGGAATGATGGGGGGCACCCCAGCGAGGTCTCCGTCCCCCCACGCGGACACCCAAGATGTGGAGGTGATGTACTTCAAGTACGCAGAGGCCGCCCCGCCAGTCCCGCGACTGCGGGCCCCTGGCCAGAGCTCGAGCGCTGGTGCGCCCACGGGGAAGACCCCTGCCAAGAAACACCCTGCTTGCCTCCAGGGTGCCCTGGGTTTCTTGGGTTTCGATGGTTTTGCCATGGAAAGCGTGACGTTCCCACACCAACAATCCATTGACGTCCTGGGGTCTCAGAGTTGGGTTTCTTGTGGAAGGTTTCTTGTGCTCGGGCCCCTACTGTACGGAAGGGATCACCCACGGCGTGTTCACAGCTTTCTTGCCCCTGAGGCCGCCAGTGTCGGGCCAGAGTCGGCTGGCTTCGGGGCGCCGCCTGGCATCTCCACGTCGACGTTGCGCTCCTTTCGTCCTGGGGGCTATGCTGTCATATCGTTCTTCGATTGTTGCTCCTTCTCGCCATCGGCCCGTTGATGCAGAATCGGGGTCATGTCGCAGTGAAGGCGTGTGGCCTACCCTCGGGGCGCCATCTCCTCACCATGATCCGGTGGCGACCCGAGACGCTGCTCGGGGCGGTGCGCGCACGCTGTGCGCCAGGGCAGCCTTTCTCGGCGGGAGGCGACGCAGATGTTGATTGCCACTCACATCCCCGACCACCTAACTTCTTCAATCCGGGTGCTCCTCCTTGATGTCGGCCTCCGGGTCCCGTCATCGGGCCCTGGACCAGCAACACCGGGTCCGGGGTGCAGAGTTACCAGACGAAGCCAGGACGAGGAGAAGTTCGGGTGAGGACAAGTTGAGAATCTCTGCGATCCGGCGGCTCTGGAGGCCGTCTCGGGCGCCGCGGCCTTTCTCCGGGCTTTCCGAAACGCTCTGAGAGCGGTCCGGAACGCTCTGGACCGGATCTATCCTCGTCCTGTTTAGCCCCGTTCGATATACAGTGAAGGTCAGTCCACAAGAAAGTTTTTACAAGAAACCCAACCCTGAGACCCCAGGACGTCCATGGATTGTTGGTGTGGGCACGTCACGCTTTCCATGGCGAAACCATCGAAACCCAAGAAACCCAGGGCACCCTGGAGGCGGGAGAGGAAGCGGATGAGAAGTCAGACGAGTCGGACGATAAGGAACAGGAGGAGAAGAAGGAAGAGAAGGAAAAGGAGAAGGAGGAGGCGGAGGAGGAGGAGGAGGAGGGCGGAGAGGGCGGAAGGAACCTTCCGCCAGACGAAAAAAGAATAAGGCGAGGGGCAAGCTAAATCTATTTTCGTGCGGGGTCCTACCGTCGGAGTAATGGTTTTTGGAACGCATTGGAGCCATCTGCTGTAGCTGGGAGCCCCAGAACCCCCCTTCAATTCTTGATGCTTCGCGCGTCCCCGCCAGCCCGTCCACAAACGATGCCCAGGCGCATTGGAGGAGCATGCAATGGATCAAGGCTGGGAGAGTCGTCAAACTGAAGTTTTTGATCAGCCTGCGCAGACCCAAGTGCGAACCATATGCGCCTTCGCGGACCTGCCGAATAAGGGAAGGTGGGGAAGAAGGACGAGGGGGATGAGGGACAAGAGGGGGAGGAGGAGGAGGAGGAGGAGGAGGAGGAGGAGGAGGAGGAGGAGGAGGAGGAGGAGAAGGAGGAGAAGGAGGAGGAGGAGGAGGAAGAGGCAGAGGAGGAGGACGAGGAGGAGGAGGAGGTGGTGGAGGGTCGGGGAGGGTGGGGAGGGAGGAGGGAGGGGGAGAAATAGGCGGATGAGGAGGAGGAGGAGGAGGAGGAGGAGGAGGAGGAGGAGGAGGAGGAGGCTACGTCCGGCCGCGGCGAATCAAAGGGCCCGCGAAGTGCCAGTTGGGCCTGCCTTAAGCCGTCGTGGGTGGACCGTAGGAAGTTTTGGAAGCCATTTGAGCCGTCTTCGTGGTTCGTGGAAGCCCCGGAGAAGAAGTGTCGTGGAATAGAGACCCCCAACAAACCGACCATCCAGCCTAGCTAGAACCTGAACGCGCGTGAAGCGCGTGATGGTTCTCTCTCTCTCTCTCTCTCTTTCTCTCTCTCTCTCTATTTCTCTCCCTCTTTCTCTCTATTTGTATGCTCTTTATTTATATGTGTGTGTATATATGTACGCATACTGCACCACATAATTGACACAGTACAGATTGCACACCATCTATTGCACAACGTAGATTGCACAACCTGGGTGGCACCACATATATTCCACCACGTAACACCACACACATTTTGCTCCACACAGGCTTTCTCTAGAGACACACAGCCTTGGGACTAAACTGGCTGACGTCTCATCCTGTATCCTAACATCTATACACACGCACACTGGGCAGCGCTGATTTTGTACACGGCCGTTTTGGACCTGTCGGGGAGCGCCAACACGCGTCAAAGGAGGGCAGGAAGGGCAATGAAAGGGCCCAAGAGACGTCCAAGAGGGCTCCAAGACGACCCAAAAGCACGCCAAGAGAGCCCAAGACCGCCAATGCCGTAGCCATTTTGACCGAAGCGATTTCGAGTCGAACCATTTCAGCTTGCATCTCCCGCTGTGCCTTTTTCGCTTTTTTCCCTTCACGCAACCATGGCCTTCATGGCCAGAGCTCTTTCGCTCGCTGGCCTGTTGACTACCGTTGGCGCGCAGCAGCCATCGGACCACAATGAGGGTGAGACAGATGAGTCGTCCACGGCGCCAAAGCCCTTGTGCGAGGACGCCAGAACAGCTGGCGATTGGCGTGATCCGACGGAGGCCCAGTGTAAGAACTATGTGGTTTTTTGACCCTGATCCCGCCGATCTACGTGAGAGGTGCCGCCGAATTCCAGAAATGTGGCGAATCTCATGTGTTTTCATACCCTGACGCTCCTTATCTGCGTGAGAGCTGCCGCCGAATTTCAAAAATGTAGCAAATCCCATTGGTTTTTGGACCCTGACCCCTCCGATCTGTGTGATGGGGTGCCACCGAATTTCAGAAATGTGGCAAATCCCATGTGTTGTTGGACCCTGACCCCGCCGATGTGCGTGAGGGGTGTCAATTTCGCCCCCCCAGAAATTCTGAGACCCCTCCCGGGAGGTGCTAACCAGGGCGGTTTGCGGCTCCCCTACCTCGCGCGGTCTACAACAAGGAACAGTAAAAAGAAGAAGCAGAACTGTAACAGTGGAAACTGGACAGTGGAACTGGTGCAGGGAACAGCAGACCCTCGTCCTCCTGGTGGCCCCACAAGGGGGCCTGCGGATTCATTGATTTCCGTTCGCAAGGTTGGTTGTTGTTGTATGACTTATCAAATCTTGACACCAAGAGGGCTCCACGACATTGAGCAGGCGATCTCGCGCCCTCACGCTGTCCGTCCCCGTCCCAAGCAGGTGACTGAAAGAGCGAGGTACGAGTGATGGCGTTGAGTTGGGGCGGAGGGGTGGTCCGGGGGAAGGGCGAGGAGCTGGGGCGTGGGTCTTAGCGCCCTCCCCCCCCCCAAGACGGCCCAAGGGGCGCCCAGGACGGCCCCCGAAGGTGGCCCCAGAGGGGTCCAAGACGGCTCCGAGGCGGCCCAAGAGCGTCGCAAGAAAGCCCAAGAGCGTCTCAGAGAGTTGGCCCCCTGGAGGACCCTCGAGTGGTCTCCATGATGCCAAAGGCATCGATGTTTCTCATAGGTTCGTTCGAGATTTTTGAGTTTCTCGCCTTCTCGGGCCAAGAACGGCAAAAGACGGCCCAAGGGGCCCCAAAGGCCGCTCCAAGACAGCCCAAGAGGCTCCTAAGAGGGCTCTTCCGTAGCCATTTGGGCTCACGCCTTGAATCAAGACATTGGTCACTATTTGCCACAATTGTCACACACGTGCTGCATCTGTGCCATCAATGGTGACCCACAGTCAGATGCTATTGACGTGCGCTTGTGCGCAGGCTGTGCTTCTGGCTGCGCCGTGCGTGTACTTGGCGCTTGTGCGGTTTCTTCGGGATGCTCAACCGAGCGCCGCGGCTCTTCGCACCCATCCTCTCAGTCGGGACAGCTTTGCTCTTGCGACTTCGCATTTCTCCTCCGCCACCCCCTACGATGCGACGCGCGCGCCACGGCCAGCCAGCAAACCAGTCGCCGCCCTTGTCCATTGTGGAACATGCGAAGCTGAATTGATTGGAAGGTCATTGTGGTGGTCTGGTGCACAGGCTGGGCCTTGGGCGCAACCTCAAGACACACATGCTTGGGAGTTGCGGACATGGTCTTTTGTTTGCCCCTGAAGAGTATCCAGGATGGATGTGTGCTCGGGTTGATTGCAAATGCGTGCGGCCCGTTCAGGAAAACTGTTTGTGGTTCCTTTTCAGCAAAGGGAGAACCACGGAGGTGGTGATTTTTTTTTTTCGGATGCCTGCTCAAGTTTGCAGTGTGCCGCCAACCAATGGCGCAGACGGAACTTGGACTCAAACGTACATAATTCGTATCGGCCCTCTCTGGGAAACAAGAAAAGGTCATTACTACATCGGCTACAAACTAGGGGACTTTTTGACAGATGGCCGATTTATGGTTGTGCCAGCTTTACCTACTGGAGATACAGCGATTGTTGAAACCACCGATGCAGTATATGATGCGACTGATAACGCTATACCATTCCCGCCCCTGCACGCACATCACGCCAGCTCAAATAAGATGGAACGCTGGAGGTATTCCAAGCAGTATTCAAACAACGACGTAACACGTACGTTTGGACCAGCAATGGCAAAACAAAGTTACCGACATTCGGGTTTTACCAAATGCGCAGAAAACGTTACAGATACCAACGCGTGTGCTCCTTTGAAACTGCCACCCGCGCACGCATTTATTGTAACAGATGGCCCGTACAACGTTGCGAACGGCTTGTGCAACATCGTTGGCGAAACTTGGGTTGACCGAAACGTGTTCTTTGAGTTTGGACGAACATTCATGGTCACGGCGCCCACAGGCAGTAACACAATGGTTAAAAGGCACAGTTCCAAACGTTCGCCGCAATCTGTGGGTTTGGGATTTCGGCGTTGTCTCGGGCGGTGCTTCCTATGTTCCAGGTGTGAACAGACCGTCTGGGAGTGTCGCATGGCGTGTCTTCGAGTTTCCATTCGCTGCACGGATCATAGGCAATTGGATGCACACTCACTCACAGGTGGCAAGCGAGATGTTCACTATTGAGGGTGATGTGCAGCAGATGTTGCCGCAGTGTCTCGTCAGGAGGTGCTATTCTACAAAAAAGTGCGTCTCTGAAGGTATAAATGGTAATGACACCAATCACCATCGAGGCGATATGTCTCCTCCTCAGAGTATGTCCAGAAGTGTTCTACACATGGTTCTGGCAAGTCGCCTTATCGACGGTAACAGCGCTGTGTGGTGCCAAGACAAGAGTCGCAACGAGTTGGCGAACCATACGGCCTATGTTCATTCGCGCTACAGATGCGAGCGACTACAAACAGATGCGATAATTGGACGGTGATCAAAGGTAACAAATTGTATCACAGGTGGTTCGCAGGAGCGGGGATTTTAGACTGTGTTTAGTTTTTTTCTTGTTCGCCGGTTATCGTTGCTATCCCTCCTCTCCCGTCCCTCGGATCATCGGCTATGCAAGAGCTAAAGCATGAGGCCTCGGCGCCGCCGTGAAGCAGCATCGGCAAGAGAAATCGAGATTCCGATGCTATTGTTGAACTCAGTGTTGCATTTTGAACCTGCCCCCGTATGCTGCGCACTGAGCTTTCCCACAACATTTCAGAAATGTGGCAAATCCCTTATGTTCTTGGACCCTGACCCCGCCGATCTGCGTGAGGGGGGCCACCGAATTTCAAGACATGTGACGAATCACGTGTGTTTTCCGACCCTGACCCCGCCGCTGTGCAGAAGGGGTGCCACAGAATGTCAGAAATGTGTCAAATCCGTTTTGTTTTTTGACCCTGACCCCGCCGATCTGCGTGAGGGGTGCCGCCGAATTTCAGAGATGTGGTAAATCCTATTGGTTTTTCGACCCTGACCCCGCCGATCTGCGTGAGGGGTGCCGCCGGATTTCAAGAATGTGGCAAACCCATATGTTTTTTGACCCTGAAGCCGCCGATTTGCGTGAGGGGTGCCACCGAATTTCAGGAATGTGGCGAACCCCATGTGTTTTTGGGCTCTGACCCCGCCGATCTGGGTGAGGGATGTAATTTTTCGACCCCCCTCCGAAATTTTGACCCCCAACTGTATGCCATCCGCTTTTTGGCCGCAGCGCTGGCGCGCTCACGGCGTGGGCTGGCCGAGAGCAGGATGCCCTGGCGAACTGGCACTGGGACGGGGGCGCAGGGAAGCGAGCGGCCGCGATGGGAGCGGCTCCAGAGCGTTTTCTCCACCCCGCCGCCCGCAACCATCGGAGCCGCTCCCATCGCGGCCGCTCGCTTCCCTGCGCCCCCGTCCCAGTGCCAGTTCGCCAGGGCATCCTGCTCTCGGCCAGCCCGCGCCGTGCGCGCGCCAGCGCTGCGGCCAAAAAGTGGATGGCATATATACACACACACGCACACACACACACACACACACGCACACACACATATACAGTGGAGGCCCCTGTCAAGAAACACCCTGCGTGCCTCCAGGGTGCCATGGTTTTGCCATGGAAAGCGTGACGTGCCCACACCAACAATCCATGGACGTCCTGGGGTCTCATGGTTGGGTTTCTTCCGGAAGCTTTCTTGTGGACTGGCCTCCATTGTATATCGAACGGGGCTTATCAGGACGAGGATAGATCCGGTTCAGAGCGTTCCGGACCGCTCTCAGAGCGTTTTGGAAAGCTCTGAGACGGCCGCAGCGCCCGAGACGGCCTCCAGAGCCGCGGGATCTGAGATTCTCGACGTATCTTCGCCCGATGTTGTCCTCGTCCAAGGCCTCGTCTTGTTGGATGGCGCTGCCGTGTGCTCCGCGTCGCGGAACGGCCGTGGCTTTCGCGGCCAGGTCGTGCCCGTCGCGCCGAGCGCTGCGCGCGGGCCCCGCGGCCTCTCGGCCGTGGTCTTGCCCTCCGCCCCCCCTCTCTCTGCCTTCCTCGTCCTCCTTTCCCCTCGGCCCGCCCTAATCATCTGGCGTCTTTGCCCCCCCCCCCCCCCTCCCCCTGGCTTTTGGCCGAGGCGACGGGGCCGGACAGGTGGCCGTATTCTCCTTCTAGATTCTAGATCAACGAACTTTCGTCGGGATGCGCCGGCTAATCATGGCCCGTCCTGGGCCCGGGAGCGGAGTCTGTCTCGATCCCCCGCTTTGGGCCCGGGATCGGTGTACACGATATCCCAGCAGCTGGCCGGGAGGAATTCTACACGGAGCCCTGGCCTGCGATTGGCCTGGCCAGGATCAGTGCCAGTGTAGATGGCGTCTCGGCCAAGATCCGCTCAAGACGGATTTTCGGACGCCTCCCAGGACCTGCTCTGGGCTTTATCTGTTGGTTGTCGGTCTGCGTGTCGCAAGAGGGGTCCCACCCGACTCTGGGGATAGATTCCGCGAGGCCCGAAGAGAACAGTATACGTCCCCACCCACGGAAGAAAGTCGGCCAGTGAGGCCAGCATGTCCCAACTAATTTGCCAGGAAGCAGGCCCAGTGTTTTGCGCACGTTCGCCCCTCCGACGTTCACAACAGATAGCTATAGGGAACCTTCCAGGAAGCCGGCCCAGATTTCTGAACTGAGAATGTTATTGATCAAATTATCGGCTGTATGTTCGTTTGAGGGACCTCACTGGGGCCCACCGTACGGACCTCTCAGCCTCCAGCTCGAGTCTGATTCGGCTCCGCTCCAGTTCGGTTCACGTTCGAACGAGTTCGACGGGTGTCCGACGCAGCACCGACGCCATCGAGGCAGAAAGGAAGGCGGCGAGGATCAGGAGGAGGAGGAGGAGGAGAAGGAGGAGGAGGAGGAGGGGCGAGGAGGAGCGAGGGCGATCAGGAGGAGGAGGAGGAGGAGGAGGAGGAGGAGGAGGAGGAGGAGGAGGAGGGAGTGAGGCGAGTGGCTCCAGGAAGGTCCCCAGAACGATCGTCTGAAACAGCTTGGGCTGCACGAGCCCCGCCCCCTCGGCGCCGCGCCCGCTCGCACAGGCCGCGTTCCTCTTCGGCAGCAGCAAGGGTGCGGCGGTGAGGCGCCCGCGGTGCGCGCGGCGCCGCCGGTGCGGAGCAGCTGCCGCCGCACGCCGCCGTCGCTTCCTGCGCAGGAGGAGGACCAGAGTACACAAGTCCAAGACGAAGGGATGGGCCAATGGGCCATTCTTCGCCGATGGGGGCCCGATAGCCCGCCCGCGCCCAGGAACAGGCGGATTCGCTATCTCTCTTTGCCCCGGAGGAAGGGGGGCGGGAGAAGGGAAACGATCGCACTTCTCGCCGCCGCCGCCGATGTGGTCCTCCTCTGCACGATCGGCGGGCGGAGCTAGCAGAGGGTGAGGATGAAGAGGAGGACCAGGACGTCCGAGGAGCGATGGCCAGTTGGTGTGTCGACACTGCTGCGGTACCGTCAGGAACGTGTGCTTAGCGTGGCGCGGCGCCGGCTCTGGCCCACCACGCTTCGGCGCGGCACGACGACCACGTCCCGGCTCGCAGGTATCAGCGTTCCTTGCTCTTCCCAGCCTCCCGTCTCGCGAAGCGGAGCGGCACGCTGTCAGCTTGCACGGCATTTCGTGCTGCAGGGGCCGCCGCCGCGACGCGCTGAGCTAGAGATTCTGACTGTACGCCCTCCCGTCCCAAGGCCCCTCCTCACAAGGTCCGGCAGTCTGTCCAAGTTTTCTCTTTCACTGCGCGGAGCGCCCATTCGAAGGACAGCTGCCCGTGGGCCAGCAATTCTGACAGGATCTATGGAATGCGACAAGGTGGGATCATCGAGTTCCCTGGCGGGAGGAGTGTGGCGGGCGTGGCGGGAGGAGTGTGCGGGTCCTCGCGACTGCGCGTGTGCCTGGTCTCAAAATGTGGCTGACGACGCTGGGCTCCACGATTCTTCATGGCGGCTCCTGAGCGCACCGCCGCTTCGGAGTTCGCGATGCAGAACACTCTCGCGCCCCCCGTGCAGGGAGGGATGCCAAGTTTTTGCAGAGGGGTCCCGCGACGGTCCCGCTGCGAGGAGGACGCGCCTTCCACGCGAGTCGTTTCCTGTGTGCTTGTAGGTCTCGAGTCACACCAGGCGCGCTAACGGCGATGCAGGTCACGGCGAGGTAGGTTTCGGTGTTGTGGGACCGCGCAGCTCGCGCTTTCCTAGAATTCGCTGTGTCGCTTTCGCTCGATGCATCCGCAGATCGAAAGTGTAGGAACGTGTGCTTCGTGATATCCTGCAGTTCGGTTTCCAACATCACCGTTGAGCAACATCGCCGTTGGCTTGGCCTTGGTTATATCATAAAAGGGTATCGCAGGCGAGAGTCTCACTTTTGGCGCCTTGTGTCTATATGGTGATACTCGATGTGGTTCGTCTCGGTTGGACAATCTTGTCGTGTTCATCAGGGTGCTCCCGCTGCAGAGTTGGCATCGCACCAGGACCCGCGCTCTGCTCCTGCCGTTCAGGACTGCACTCTCTCCCCTGCGCCCGCCACATTTTTGGATCTGAGTGCTGACTCGTCGTTGTCGACCCCCTCCTCTCCCCCCCTCTGCCTTCCCCTGCTCCTCCTGCTCATCCTGCGCCTGCTGCTGCTGCTGCTCTTCCTCCCCCGCCTCCTTCCTCATCCTCCCTCCCTTCCTCCCGCCCATCCTCCTGCTCATCCGCCACCTCCTCCGCTTCTTACTCCACCTCCTCCTCTTCCTCCGTCTTTTCCAATGCACACAGCTCCCATTTCTGATTGCGCATAGAACGATGGGGCCAGTTGGGTAGTTCCAGGCCCGCTATGCCACCCGTCGGCGGATATAGACAAATCGACGTTGCGGGAAGGGGTGAGATTGGCGGGGTAGGATGTGAGATGTGGCGCGAGCGCGTCTGGCTTGCCCTTCTCCCCTCTCCATCTTCCTCTGCCTGGCCTCCCTCTCCCCATCCCCCCCCCCCCAAGAGTACGTTCCCCTCACGAGCATGGCCGGGAGGACCTCAAGCGTATCAGGCGAGGTCTCCTGCCGCGAGCCGTGCTCGTCGCGATCCGGCGCGGCGCATGCTGCCTTGCGTTTTCTCTGCTCAGTGTCTGTAGCCAGGTAGACTGTGGCCCCTATGACACTCACCGACGCTCTCCCCATCCCCCCCCGTCCTTCGTCCCGACCCGGCGGCGCGACACGCTGAGCCAGAGTTCCTGCGCCGCTTCCTCCTCATTCTCCTTCTCCATTGTCGGTGATTTCAACTACCCAGTATCTGGGGAAGGTCGTTTTTCGGTTCGTAGCGGCGCTGACCGTGTTGGTCAGGTTAGGCTTTCCAGCGTTTTTGACGAGATTTTCCCGCGCTTCTGTGAAGTAGAGCAGAAATCTGATACTCATCGTCGCGCCACCCAGGAGGATACGATCTACGCCAGGTTGGACTGTATTTATACTAACATCCCCGCTGTGGTGTTGATGGATTCCAGTATCCCCACGGGCACATCCTGGGACATCACGAACCTCGCGAAGCCCTCTAACCACGCCCCCGTGTTCCTCAACGTGAAGCCTCATCAACCTTCAGGGAGGCCTCCATCGGTTCCTGTCTGGGTCGCCAAGCACCCGGTGTCCCCGTGCTCCTGGACCAGACTATTGTTGAACATTCCCTGAGCACCAACCCCTGCATCCGGGTAAAAGAAATCAAGGCGCCGATGAGAAGCGCGAGGCATCAACTTTTACATTTCGTCGAGGCCACAGGTGCAGCCTGCCTGGCCTTGAAGGCACATGTTTGTCTGCAATGTCTGCGTGCACACCGTCGGCGAGATGAGCGTCGTGCGCGCAGTGCGTGCCGCTCTTTTCCTGAACTTCGCCAACTTTTTATTGTGATATGATGGTCTGGACCCGATGGCTGAGCTTTCACGAGCTGCTCGCCCAGCTGCATCGCGACATGCTAGAGAAGGAGAAGGCGAGGATCTTGGAAGCACCTCACTTGACAGGCGCGAGTCAGGCCAGAGCACTTGCCAGGATTCGTCGTCTCCCCTCTTCCTGGGCTGCCACTCGGCCGACACTGAGACTTGCAGGTGTGAAGGACCCCGAAGGCAATGTTCACTGCGACCCGAAAATTATTCAAGTGATAGACGGCACGCAGGAACAGTACGTAGCTAGCTCACACCAGCGGCATGATTTGGTCCTCTCCGAAGATCGTTTCATCGAAGGCCTGATGCATAAGAAAGATACTGCAGCCCGCCTTGACGCTATCCCATGCGCAGCCTGGAAGGCCGCAAGTTTGCCAGTGCAGCAGTCTCTCTACTCGTTGTACCTCCACCTCCTCACGGATGAGCCTCTCAATGATGAGTTCAATTATTGTTGGTGCGCGTTCCTCCCCAAAAGTGCGTTGTGCAATGGCGGTCAGGAAGAACGATCCCCGAAAAATGCCCGTCTCTTCTCCTTCTCCAACAGGGACAGCAAAACCGTCTGTCCGCCCTTGCCCAAGCCCTCCAAGCTGTCGCTGCCGAAGTCGTCGGTCCTGTCCAGAAAGGTTTCGTCAAAGGTCGAAGCATGATCGACAAAGTTGTGCTTTTTGACGGGCACCTTCTTGGGTGGGCGGGTGCGCTCGGACAAGTGAATACTGGAGGCTGCCTGCTTGACTTTGCGCAGGCCTTCCCCAGCGTGTATCACCGGTGTGTTTCAATGTGTTGGGCAAGATGGGGTTCCCGAGTAAGATCCTCCAGGCAAAAAGCTCTACAGCAACATTGTCATGTATATAGACCCCCCTGGGCATGACTCCACGAGGTTCCGGGCGACTCGGGGAATGAAACAAGGCTGCCCATTGTTTGAGGTCTTTTTCGCAATCATGTTGGACCCATTGTACGCTGTATCAAACACTCCCAAACACGTCTTGAGATGTGTCTAACAGCGCTCGCGGACGACATCGCTCTGGCGTGCTCCGACATGCTCGTGAGCGTTCCTGTCGTACTCCGGTTGCTCGTTCGCTCAGGCTACTTCACTGGTTTTGTCTTGAGCATTGATAAGTGCACCCCCTCATGGTTAACAGAAACGATCTTCTCATCCAAATCTTCAATGACGCACACGTAAACAACTCGAAGTTTAATATTCAGCGCGCCGCCGTGCATCTTGGTGCCACAGTAGGCCACGATGCTGCGCTCGATGCTTGGCGAGCTCCAGTATTGAAGTTGGTCTGTCGTACGCATGATGACACACAAATGCGCCAGAGTCTTGCGCAGAGCGTCGTGGCCTACAATGTTTACGCCGCTCCCGTGTGTAGCCACGTAGCCAACTTCCTGCCCATCCCGCACTTGGACAAGGCCCAGGAGAATTAATGTCACCAAGCTTTAGTTCGTGCTCCTCGGCATGCGTTTCCACCTGTTGCCTTGTAACATATTGACCAACTCGGCCTTGGCATACATGTGGTCAGACTCAGTAATTACAGCTGCCAAGGCGGCCATGATCAGAGCCGCCGAGCATAGCAACGAATTTCACGAAATGCGTGATTGGCTCCTTTTCCAGCTTGAGTCTGACGACGCACACATTGCCGCCAGGTGCGCTCACCCCCTCTTCGCCAACTCTGCTCTGTTAAATTTGCTGAAACAATATACGATCGTCTCTCAACTGCCTGACTATCCCGTTGCTGTCCCCCCTCGAGGCCTCCATAGAGCGTTCACCCAGGTCATGCAAAGTAATCTACCCGTCGCACCCGTCGAAGTGTTTATCAGCTGCAGAGTTCGCTAGTGGGATCCAGATATTACCCGTCCTCAATTTGATCTGGTCCAGCATCGACTCCTCCTTATCTCCAAGTTTTTGCTTTTATTTTGTGCTGCGACTGTGATTTGTACCATATTCAGCGCGTGGCTCAGTATTAGAAAGTTCCGTCGAGCCACATCTTCTTGTCATTTCGGTTCCCAGAACCTAGCTGGCGACCAACGTAATCATTATGTTGTCTGTCCCCACCTCCGTCCTCAGCCGCTCGCTCGTCTTCCAGTGCCGCCCTCATGGGGCTCGGATGCCAAAGCCGTCATTCCGCCATGGTTCTGGGATGTTCAATCGAAGGATGACATCCTTGCACGCGCCATAGCTGTGGATGTGATCTAATCGGTCTTCAATGCGCGCAGAGCTCGTGGGCTCCAGAGCCCCAGACGTGCCGTGCAACACGCCCACATTTGCCCACGAGCGATCGCCAGGCGCAGTGCGGCCATCAGTCAGCTGGTCAGGTGACGTGCCCTCTCTCTCCCCCTCAGAGGCGTGGCGTTCCTCCTCCCTCTCCTCCTCCTCGTCCTCCTCCTCCTCCTCCTCGTTCTCCTCCCCCTCCGCTTCCCGTCTTCCGCCCCCACCTCTTGCCCCCTCCTTCTCGCCGTCTCGGGCGAAGCGGCGGGCGCGCTGAGGCGTGAGATGTGCCGGCCGCCTCCTCCTTCTCCTCCTCCTTTCCCCTCCTCCCTCCTCCCCCCTCCCTCTCCTCCTTCCCTCTCCTCCTCCTCCTCCTCCTCCTCCTCCTCCTCCTCCTCCTCCTCCTCTCTCCTCTCTCCTCCTCCTCCTCCTCTCCTCCTCCTCCCCTCCTCCTCCTCCTCCTCCCTCCTCCTCCTCCTCCCTCCTCCTCCCTCCCTCCTCCCTCCCGCCTCGCCCTCCTCCTCCTCCCCTCCCCCCTCCACCTCTCCGGGGCTCGCCTCGATCCCCCCGATGTCGATCTCGACGTCGATGGCTTCCGATTCCGATTCCACTCGGCTTCGAGTTCCGACTCGGATTCCGACTTCTCGCTGGAGGCGTCTTGTCCCCACGATGCGCGCCGCTTTGATGTCTCCCGGCTCGGCTGCTGATTCCTGCTGGTTCGATTCGTTTCGGTCGCCTCTCCGACGTACCGGTCAGATGATTTGCTCTCCTGCTTCGCATCTCCCCCCCACCGCGCAGAGCCCCCCGCCCTCGACGTGAGCTCCTCGCGCTGCCGCGCCTGCGCCCCCCACCCCCCGGGCCTCGGCGAGGCACATCGCCGCGGCCTCCGCCGCGGACCTGAAGCTGAGCCAGAACAACCGCAAGGCCTCCGCGGCGCCGCGGCCCTCGGGGCAGCGGCCACGATCGGCCGGGGACGAGCCCGGACAGGCGGAGGCCGCGGCCAGGCTGAGCCCGGGCGGGGCTGGGCGGGCGGAGCCGGGAGGAAGCAGAGCGGTTCCTCTCTCAGAGCGTCCCGGAACGCTCTGAGGAGGCGGCCGCGTCCGTCTCGCTTCAGCTTCGCCCGAATTTCTCCTCGTCTTGGCTTCGCCTCAGGAAGTCGGCCCTGGGCCGAGCTCGGCCTGGCCGAGCTCGGCTGGCCTGGCCGAGGTTCGCCTGGCCGAGTCGTTCCCGCGTCCTCGGGCGGCCCTCCTCCCCGGACCCCCTCGCGCCGTGAGCGGAGGCCACGGCGAGACAGGGTTGTTTTTCGGTCCTCGGCCTCTGGTCGGGAGGGAGACTTACGTTGCATCCTCGGGGGGCCTCGCCTGTCCCCCAAAGTTAGATCTTTTCTTGTGCCTGATGCGGGCCTGATGCGGACTCGACGCGGATGTGGCGTGGCTTCGACGTGCATTCGGCGTGGATTCGACGCGGATTTGACGAAGCCGACATGGATTCGGCACGGGTTCGACGCGGCTAGGGCCGCGATGGGACCCACAGAGCTTCCCGAGGATGCAGCAGAAGAAGACGGAGTACCAATGACACGGTGCCGCTGGTAGCCCGCCAGAGTGTGGCTTCTTCGTTTTGTTCGACGGCCTGGTGCTTCCTCATCCGTTACTCGCTGATGGATTCCCCACGGTGGCGTGTTTACCAGTTTGAAACATGTCCCCATCCCTACATGTTTGGAATCACCTCACCTCGATGCCGGTCTTGAGGGTTCCCTCAGTTTCTGAGTGTTGTTCCCTAAGATCGTCGTCGCTTTTTGCTCGTCCATCCCAGGGATAGGGATACGTAAGTTCGAGGCTGGTTGCGTGCCAAGGGTGTTCCGTTTGCTCCCCAGTCTGGAAGCCCTCTGCGGACCCAGGGACTGTCGAGGCACGACTCGGGAGGATCTGCTAGGTGATCGTTTTTGTATTCGTTGTTTCCCGATCGGCGCGGGCCCTCGCACCCCCTGCCCTCCCCCCCCCCTGGAGTAGATCTTGGCTGTTTTGGGGCGCCTGTTTCGAGCGGGTGGAGTCTCCCCCCACAGGATGCACTGCTGCAAACAGTCGCACTGAGCAGAGGTCTGGAGCCAGACCCCCTCCCTCCACCCGTTTCCTCACAATGTCGAAGCGCCGAAAAAAGAAACGCTTGCCAGCCCCGTGGAAGGGGTCGAGACTTCCCAGCGTTAAGTCGGGCATGTCCCTCTACAGGACGAATCTTCAAAAATAAGCTGAAAACTTGTCAGGGTCCGATTTTTGATGATTTAATCGATTCGCTCATTCCGCCGGCCCATAGTGTAGCATCGCGGGCACTTGCTTGCGTGCTCGGGGGGGGGGGCATTTGGGGGGCGTCCAGGAGTTTCTTGGGGGCATCTTGGGGGCCTCCTGAGGGCTCTTGGGGGTCTGGGGCTGATCTTTTGATTCTTTTCGGACTACTTTAAAGCATTTGTGGGCTATCTTTAAATTTGTCCTCCGAGATCACCCTGCAGGGGGACATGCCCGACCTAATCCCAGCGGCCGCGTTTCCCCTATCCTTACTTCCTATGGTTGAACACCCCCATATCCCCACCTAGCCGGCCGATAACAACCCCGCCGCCCCAACCGTCAAAAAACAACACAAACACATTTGTTCCCCGACAACATGTCGTCGAGTTGCGAAACGTGTAGCAGGAAACGGACGGAATAGACATCGCTTTGGTAACCCCAAGCGGGCGGTCGCGTCCGATTAACAAAAACAATACAACTCAACGTTGTCCTCGTCGACATAGGCTTTCTTCTTGTCGTCGACGCTGCGAAAGGTGTAGCAGGAATGGGACGCGGCGCACATCGCGCGCGGACGCCTGGCCAAACCTACGCGGGACCCCCCGTCCTACCTGTCAAAAAACACCGCAACGTCGAGGTTGTTCTTGCCAACCTGTGCTTTCTCCTCGTCGGCACTGCGAATCGCTGAGCGGGAATGGGACGCGGCGCACATCGCGCGGGGACGCCTGCTCGTCAGCATGGACTTTGTTGTCGTCGACGCTGCGGCCCGTCGGGTTGAGGAGCTGGGCCGGCGGCAAGTCGTAAGGCTTCAAGCAAGTGCGCTTCAAGCAAGTTCCCCAGGACACTCCCAAGAGGTCGAAAAAAGGCGTCCAGGAGGTCCTGGGGGGCAACACAAATATTGATTGTCAGTTGGTGTTTGAAGGATTGTTAGGTTTGCACCTACTTGTGTTGACAAGGTTCCACTCCGGAAGATCGATCCAAGAGGCACTCAGGCGTATACCACAGAGCTCCCAGGACGCCCCGCGAATTCCCAAGAGGCTTCTCCTCTTCCTCCTCAGTTTCTCCCTCCCTCGCTCCCTCCCCTCCTCTTCCTCCTCCTCCTCCTCCTTTTCCTCCTCCTCCTCTTCCTCCTCCTCCTCCTCCTCCTCCCCTTCGTCCATGCGCGGCAGGAGCGAAACGATTTGTCTCTCGTCGACGTTGCTCAATAATCGGCAGGAAAAGGACGCAGCTCGTGTCGCGGGCTGAACGTCTAGCCGCCCACGATATGAGATGAGCGACAGGCGTCGGGCGCGACGCACTTGCTTTTGATGGTTGTGTGGGGGGGGGCGGGTGGGAGTGGACGGAGCCCTCTGGCTCGTTCGAGCTGGCTAACTTGATCGCTGTTCCCTATTCCTAAACACCCCTGCTCCCCGGCGTCCGGTAGCCAACCCAAAACCATGCGGGCACCCCCAACCATCCCGTGTAAGAAAACCCGTGTAAGAAAACCGGCGGCGGCGGCGGCTGCGGCGGCGGCTGCGGCGGCGGCTGCGGCGGTGGCGGTGGCGGCGGCGGTGGCGGTGACGGCAGCGGCTGCGGCGACAGCGGCGGCGGCGGCGGCGATTTGGCAGCGGGGGCGGCGGCGGCGCGGCGGCGGCGGCGGGCAGCGGCGGCGGCGGCGGCGGCGGCGGCGGCGGCGGCGGCGGCGGAGGCGGCGGATTGGCCCCCAGTAGCTGCCCATCCGAAGACTACTGCTGAATATGCTGAGGTTCGGGCCAGACTCGGGTGCCACGTATGTATTGGGATGGCGGGTGGGAGTGAGCGAGACGGCGTGCGGGCGGGGAGGGAGTCTTGACCCCTACCCCTACCCCAAACCCCTGGCTCTGACCCCGTGGGAGCTCCAAAACAGCGGGCGGGGTGCACAAGTCCTTGGGGAATTAAGACAGGGAACGCGTCGGCCCGAAACGCTGCGGGGCGCTGTCGGAGCGTGGCGGAGCGCGATCTGGGGCGGCCGAGCGGCGCCCGGCAACGTCCCCCGTGGAGGGGCCGCCAGATCGCAGACGTCCTCGCCGCATCCTGGTCCAGTTGCTCCTCCGTCCGGGGCTCGTCTGAGCGGGCCGTCCTAGACAACTGGGGGGGTTCGAGAGGAGGAAGAGGAGGAGGAGGAGGAGGAGGAGGAGGAGGAGGAGGA